TTGCAAACAAATAATATTTTAAATATGAATGGTATAATACCTGAAATGGAACAAATTATCAGTCAACTCGAAAGAGGGACTGTGGTAACAAAATTTTTTTCAAGGAAGAGACCAGAAAAAAAGACTCTTATGATACGCAGAGAAACTAGACAAATTGTATGGTCAAGGAGTGCCACATTTAGACCTTTTGATGGTTCAGGTAAAAATATTTTAGCTCTTAAATATAATTAAAAATTGTTTTGTAGTAACTTAACATTATTCTAAGTTTCAAATGAAGCATTACAAAATTTTCATTTGCTGATTGTGACACATTTTACAAACATTAATTGAGAAAGGATAAGAAGAGTAGTAAACTTACATTTTTAAATATCCAGAAATTATTTGTTTGGTAACAGTGCAATTGAAATAAATTTCCACCTAACATTTTAGGCACACATTTTACATGGTTATGAAGATATATCTACAGCAAAAATGGGCAAAATATTATCTGAGGATACTAGTTGTAGGTCAAAAACCTGAAGGAAAGGTCCTTGTGAATAATGTATATGGGTGAGTTCATGATAAAAATACAACCTAAATCAGTTAATGACTTGCATTTAATAAGCTTTTATGTATGATATTTAATTAATGTACGTTTTTTTCTGGCCTGATTCTTGTCCAATTTGATATTAAATTGAATATTTATATGCATATCCTTAGTGGACATTTCCTTCATTTTTGGTCTACAAACAAATGTGCCCATAGATACTGTTGATATATTGGATCAGCCCTATTGGATATCATGGGTATTTCATTAAAAACAAAACTATTATGTAATTGTTATATACTGATTGTATATATTACAGCAAAACATTCATACAGTACATATTAATTGGGAAGATATTTTCTAAAACTACTTCCATTTTCTCAAATGCTTAATATTTAAAACCATTTTTGCATTTTATGTTAATATACAATATATTGTATATATTTGTAGCATTTACAACACACACAGTGTTATATGTTTGTATTGAATATACACAGGTCATTTGAAAAGTTCTCAGAATGTAATGGAAAGACAGCTTATATTGTTTCAAATTATTTTTATTTTTCAATATAATCCCCTTTAACATCAATGCACTTGGACCAACGATATTCTGAAACCATTACATTATCACGAAACGTCGTTTCGTCTGGATATACAAAATATTCATCAATGACTTCCTTAACTTCCTCATCTAACAAGAATTTCTTTTCATCAAGGAATTTTTTCAACCATGGGAACAAATGGAAATCAGAGACAACTAAATCTGGCAAACAAGATGGATGTGGCAATAAATTCTACTTTAATTCGTTGATTTTTGCCATATGTATGGGGATGTGCATTTGAATTCACTTCTGATCAATTGTTAGGAGATGTGGCACAGAATATAGAAGCATATTTGTTCAAATAACAGTATATGAAATATTATATAGTAGAATGATTTGAGGTATTATAGTTATTCATATCACAAATGAAAATCTCTGATAAACTAAAAATTTTTAAATTCCTACAGTCATCTTTACTTCATTCTGAGAACTTTTCAAAAGACTCATGTATTATATACAATATATTGTATACATGTACATATATAGATGTTACAAATAAATTTTGTGTCTTTTGATTTTAGTTGAAATAAGAGAAATCAAAGAAATTAAAGTGGGAAAACATTCAAAGGATTTTGAAAAATGGCCTGAAGATGCAAAGAGAATAGAAAATCTTAGGTGCTTTGTTGTATATTATGGTTCTGAATTTCGTCTTAAAACACTTTCAATTTCTGGTATGTATGTTTTTATTATCTACATAAATGTTTAAGCTACAATTTAACATGTGTCCATTCCTACATATTCGTTTTAGCACTCAGCGAAAAAGAATGCGAACTTTGGGTAAAAGGATTACGTCGCTTAGTACAAGACACTATAAAAACTCCTTATCCTTTACAAGTTGAAAGGTGGCTAAGAAAAGAATTTTATGCAATGGAAAATTCGAGAGAAACGTAAAAATTCATATTTTCATATATACACAAGCGTGTGCGTGCGCACGCGCGTGTGTGTAAAATTGTAACTTTACTAATTGATAGACGTTTAATTTAACATCCAATATTTTACAGGGTTACATTGAAAGATATAAAAGCATTTTTACCTAGAGTTAATTGTAAAGTAGCAACAAATAAACTTAGAGAACTTTTTCAAGAAATAGATACAAGAAACAGAAACGAACTTGGTTTTGATGATTTTGTTGTACTTTACCATAAACTTATGTTTGATCAAAATGTACGTTCTAAATTTATTAACATTGCTAGCATGTACATATTTTAACATAAATTTGATGTCCTGTTTATATAAATGTGTTACACATTTTTTTTTTATTTTTATAGAATCTTACAGATTGGAGTAAATTGCTAACTTATTCTAAAACAGGACAGATTGTTACTGTTCAAGATTTTCAAAATTTCTTAATAACTGAACAGCAAGATTCTTTAGGAAATAAAGAAATTGTAGTATCATGTTTTATTAGAGATTATTTACAAGATCCTCAAAGAGATGTACAAGAGCCACATTTTACATTTTCGGAGTTTATCGATTTCTTATTTTCAAAACAAAATTCTGTTTGGGATTCAAAGTACTCTCGAATTTATCAAGATATGTCTAAACCACTTGCTCATTACTGGATAGCTTCATCGCACAATACGTAAATATATAACTGTTTTTTATTTGTAAAGAAAAGACTATACTTAAAGTAAGTAAGTCATTTATTTAAATAAAATATTCTTATAGATACTTAATGGGGGATCAAATTAGCAGTGAAAGTAGTTGTCAAGCTTATATTCGTGCATTGAGAGCTGGATGTAGATGTATAGAACTTGACTGTTGGGATGGACCAGATGGAATGCCATTTATTTTTCATGGGCATACACTCACTACAAAAATTAAGTTTTTGGATGTCATCAAAACTATTAAAGAACATGCTTTTGCCACTTCTGAGTAAGTATAAGTAAATATATGTTTAATTATTGTTTATATAATTTAAATATGAATATATTTTTCATACAGTTATCCTGTCATTTTATCCATTGAGGATAATTGTACATTACCTCAACAACGTAAAATGGCAATTACAATGCAAGAAATATTTGGCGATATGTTATTAGTTCAACCTGTAGATAAAAACGAAACTTGTTTGCCATCGCCATATGTACTCAGAAGAAAAATTGTATTGAAACATAAAAAATTGCCGGATGGCGTTGATGAAACTTCATTTCTTATTCGAAACGATGAAAGTAGACAAGAAATGGATCTTAGAAATACAGTAAAAAATGGTATTTTATATCTTGAAGATCCTGTTGACAGAGAGTGGAATCCACATTTTTTTGTATTAACACAACAAAAGTTATTCTACACAGACACATTTTCTAGAACTCAGGAGACTGAACACGATGATGATGAAGAAGGTGTAGTTCGACGACCGAGTGATGTATGTATACATTAGCAATGTAGTCTGAATGAATGGTACTTTGTTGAATTTTATTCTTGATTATAATTTAGGGAGTACCAAATGACGAGTTACATTTTGGAGAAAAATGGTTTCATGGTAAACTAGCAAGAGGAAGAGAAGAAGCAGAAGAATTACTACGGCGTTACTCACATCTTGGTGATGGCACTTTTTTAGTTAGGCAATGCGTTACATTTGTAGGTGATTATTGCCTTTCCTTTTGGCGCAAAGGAAAAGTAAATCATTGCCGTATCAAACTCAAGCAAGAAATGGGTCAAACGCAATATTATCTTATTGATACAAATTGTTTTGATAGTTTATATAGTTTAATTACGCATTACCGTAATCATCCCTTAAGAAGTCAAGTAAGAATAAATAAAATTTAGAATTATAATTAATTTCGATGTCATGGCTTTTCAATTAACAAATTTTATAAATGGAATGAATAGGAATTTTTAATTACACTTCAAGAACCTGTTCCTCAACCAAACAAACACGAAGAAAAAGAATGGTGGCATGCTGATTGTACCCGAACTTTAGCTGAAGAAATGTTAAAACGAATTCCTACAGATGGTGCATTTTTAGTAAGACCGAGCGAAAAAGAAAGCAATTCTTACGCTATATCTTTTAGGTAAGACAATTTAAAGCATTAGTGTATAAGATAAAAATATTTCTCTTTTCTCTTTCAATTTTATCCTCTTCCTTTTATTGGTTTCAGAGCAGAGAAAAAAATTAAGCATTGTAGAATTAAATTAGAAGGACGTCTGTATACTATTGGTACTGTACAGTTTGAAAGTTTAGTTGAATTAGTTAGTTACTATGAAAGGCATCCATTATATAAAAAAATAAAATTAAACCATCCTGTAAATCAAGATGTTATTAGAAGAATGGGATTGGTATATGATATTATATTTTTGTTTATTAAACATTTATGTCCGATATGTTATTGAATTATTTTATTAAATGATAAAATAATTAACTGTACAAAATGTAAGAAATTTAATTTATTTTAAAGGTAACTGTAAAAGCTATATATGACTATAAAGCAAGAAGAGATGATGAATTGACATTGGTAAAACATGCCATAATAACAAATGTACACAGACAAAGCGGTGGATGGTGGCGAGGAGATTATGGTGGTAAAAAACAACATTGGTTTCCTGCCAATTACGTGGAAGAAATAGAATCGCAAGATAACCAAGGAGATGTAAATTACTTCATTTAACGTTTTATATCTCAAACAGCATTATTAAATATCATTGAGCATACCACGTTTTTATTTCCAGTCAACAGATTCAATGATGTTTGGTAGTCTACAAAAGGGTTCATTAGATATTATGGGAGCTGTTGTTGAACTAAGAGTCGGTGGAAGACCTGGATTAGAATGGATATTAAGAATACAAAACCCTAGTATGTGTTCAGTCTTTGAAGTAGCAACTCCATCAAAAGATACAGCACTAGAATGGATGTCTAGCATTAAAGAAACTGCTCAAAATGCCAGTGTTAGAGTAAATATATAAATTTTCTTACTTTTCAAAAATTACCTTACTATGTATGAATTTAAAAAATCAATTACATTATTACTTCAGAAAATAATTATTTTTTTATTTCCTGTTTAGGAAAATCAACATAAAGAAATGGAACGAGCATGGAGAATAGCTAAAGAAATGTCAAATTTAATAGTTTATTGTAGGTCTGTTGCATTTAATTTAGACAGAATAAAAACCAAAGGTTTTATATTTAATGAGATGAGTAGCTTTCCTGAGACAAAAGCTGAAAAACTTATGTGTCAACAAGAAAATAAATTTTTTATAAAATATCATCAGGTGAAACAATATAAAATTCTAATAAATTTCCTTTTCATTTTCAGAAAACAATATTTATACTTATAATTTTTCAGGTTCAGTTTAGCAGAGTATATCCAAAAGGACAACGTATTGATTCATCAAATTATAATCCCGTACCAATGTGGAATACTGGCTGTCAAATGGTAGCATTAAACTATCAAACTGGTGATAAATCAATGCAGCTTAATCAAGCGAAATTTAGAGAAAACGGCAATTGTGGCTATATTTTAAAACCGGAGTTTATGTTTGGAAACGATTTTAGTCCATATGAACAAATTTGTTTAGACAGAGTAGAATCACTTAAATTTTCTTTAAAAGTTATTGGTGCAAGACATTTAATTAGATCAGGAAGAGGTTTAGCTAGTCCTTTTGTTGAAATCGAAATTATAGGAGCAGATTTTGATTCTGGTACAAAATTAACGACAAAAACTATGCGTAAGTAAGATAGTATTACGGATTAAAATTTTTTTTTTTGATGCATGAATAATTATGTTAAATTATAGCTGATAATGGGTTCAATCCTATGTGGAATGAATCTTGTGAATTCAAAGTTATTAACCCATATTTTGCATTCATACGATTCGTTGTGCAAGATGAAGATATGTTTGGCGATAGTAATTTTATTGGACAAGCTACTTATCCCGTATGTACCACATGAAGAATTGTTGATTATAAATTAAATATTCCATTACTTTGAATACATTTATATATTTAGGTTCGATGTTTACGATCTGGATATAGAAGTGTCCCATTAAAAAACAATTACAGTGAAGATCTTGAACTTGCATCGTTATTAATTCATCTTCATATTACATTCTTAGGAATATGTAAGTAGTATGTTGTTTTCTTAAGTACAATTTTTATATTATAAATAATTATTGTAGAAGGATTCGCATAATTTATGAAACCAATCTAAACTCTGTATAAGTGTCTGGTACATATCAGAATTGGGACAAGGTTAATATTTTATTTTTTTATTATTTAGAAGTGATAGTTTTGCATGAAATGATTATGATTTTTATGTATATAGTACATTATAATGTCAATTCCATTATTTTAGATTTCAACTAAATGAGATACTTTAATCAAAATCAGCAATTAACTGAAACATTACTATACAAAATTGATTATTTACAAGGATTACACTCTTCATTAAAATCAGTGGTTACAAGAAAAAATATATTTTTATCTTTGTGATCAATAATATAGGTAATTTATAAACATTATTGTGACATGTAACATCAAAATGAAATGATTGTTGCAGTAGTGAAAAAGTAATAGATATCAAACAGAGTTAAATATGAAGAAAAGGAATATCTTTTTGAAAAGCAACATATAGTATAAGCGTGTTCGTGATATGTAAGGTTTTTAAAGAAATATTTAACATGTACTTTTATTTTTAGTTTATATTTAGTTCACATCAAAGGAGTAAATGCTATCATATAAAGAAATCAATACGATTTAGTGTAGCCCAATTTTTTAATTTTTGATATAAAAAATAACACATAAAGCGAAAACATCGCAAGGTATACTTTTATTTAATTTATATCATACCTTTTTTTATAAAATTAAAAAAAATAGACATTTTCAACTAGAAGGTCTTAAATTATGATATAGTTTAGACTGAACTAATTAATATGCACAATACGCTTCAAATTCATTTAATTAGGGAAATATTTTCACATTGATACTATTTATTTATTATTTCAAAGATAGGTTTTAGTTTAACAACATAGTATATGAAAAAAATGAGAAGATATTAAAAGGCTGATTGTTAAGTAGTCCAAGTACATATGAATTGCCTTTCATGTAAAGTTATAAAGTTTGTACTACATAAAACCAGATACAAACATGCTTATTTTTAATTTTTCTATTTTTTATTTTCATATATAAACTACATATCTTATATTCCATATTATCAATTTTATCATCGTTCCTATTAATACAATTATGTGTAATTAAAAGTAATATTATCGTAAATTACTTGTTCGAAACAAGTAAGCAATAACAAAAGTGTTTGGTATAATTTTATTAACATTATATTAAGCATATTAGCTCTTACTTCCATCATAATGAATTTATATTTTACATTCTAATAAATCAATTTTAATTTATTCTCATTTTCATAAATTTTAACAGAAAATTAATTTGTGAAAAACCTTTGGATAATTGTGTTTTTTATAAAGGTATGTTCGTTTACTAATTGATGACTTAAATATAATAGCAATGGTATTAATTGTGTTTACTTTTTAAAGTCACATATGTAATTAAGAAAATAGAGTGTTTTAATATCACATGCATATCGAAAGCAAATACAAATGTATGTTACATATAATTAAATGTGATGTACACCACCTCTGTATAAAAATAAAAAATAAAATATATGCTGGTATTTCT